GAAATCTCACTATCGATCCGGAAACTTCAAAAATTCAACTTTCGGCATTTCAAGCCTAAATAAGCTACAAACCTCCAAAACACAATCCGAACACGCCCCTAAGCCCGAAATCACCCTACGGAGCTAACGGAATTGACGAAATTCCATTCCGAGACCTTCTTCACACTGCTCCGACTACGGTCTAAATTCTAAAGCTTAAGCTCTCATTTACGGACTAAGTGTGTCAAAACACTCCGAAACTCAAAACGAATACTCCCGGCAACTCATAATAGCAGAAACAAACACGGGGAAAGCAGTTAATAGGGGATCGGGGCGTTAATTCTTAAAACGACCGGCCGGGTCGTTACATCCTCCCCCTCTTAAAACATTCGTTTATCCTCGAACGAGCATATAGACATACCTGAAGTAGTGAAAAGATGAGGGTAACGGCTGCGCATATCCTGCTCGGTCTCCCAGGTCGTCTCTTCGACCGGCTGACCCCACCATTGGACCTTCACTGATGAAATATTCTTTGACCTCAACTTTCGAACCTGCCTGTCCAATATCGCCACTGGCTCCTCAACATAAGATAGATCCTTGTCCAACTGGACTAAACTGAAATCCAACACGTGCGACGGATCACCGTGATACCTCCGGAGCATCGAAAAATGAAATACCAGATGAAATCCTGTCAAGCTGGGAGGTAAGGCAAGCTCATAAGCAACCTCCCCAACACGTTGCAATATCTCAAAAGGACCAATAAACCTTGGAATCAATTTCCCTTTCTTCCCAAATATCATAATGCCCTTCATAGGCGAAACCCGAAGCAAGACCCGCTCTCCAACCATATAGGAAACATCACGAACCTTCCGGTCCACATAACTCTTCTGTCTGGAATGGGCTATGCGAAGTCTATCATGAATCACCTTAACCTTCTCCAAGGCGTCCTGAACCAAGTCTGTGCCCAATAATCTAGCCTCACCGGGCTCAAACCAACCCACCCGGGATCTACACCGCCTACCATATAAAGCCTCATACGGTGCCATCTGAATGTTGTACTGATAACTTTTGTTGAAGGCAAACTCCGCTAGTGGCAAGAACTGATCCCAAGAACCTCCAAACTCCATCACACACGCACGGAGCATATCCTCAAGAATCTAAATAGTGCGCTCGGACTATCCGTCCTTCTGGGGGTGAAATGTTGTGCTCAACTCCACCCGAGTACCCAACTCATGCTGTACGGCCCTCCAGAACCGTGATGTAAACTGAGTACTTCTATCCGAAATGATGGAAACTGGAATACCATGCAGACGAACAATTTCCTGAATATAAATCTCCGCTAACCGCTCCGAAGGATAGGTAGGACACACAGGAATGAAATGTGCGGACTTGGTCAACCGATCCACAATCACCCAAATGACATCGAACTTTCTCAAAGTCCGTGGGAGTCCAACTACGAAGTCCATGGTGATCCGCCCCCACTTCCGCTTCGGAATCTCTATCTGCTGAAGCAACCTACCCGATCTCTGGTCCACATACTTTACCTGCTAGTGGATTGAGGCACCAAGCTACAAATTCAACTATATCCTTCTTCATCCGCCTCCAGTAATAGTGCTGTCTCAAATCCTGGCACATCTTCGCTGCACCCGGATGGATGGAATATCACAAACTATGGGCCCATCAACATTGGGGACACATACCCGACCCTGCATCCTCAATACACCATCATCACCAATAGTCACATCTCTGGCATCACCATGCAGAACCTTGTCCTTGAGGACGAGCAAATGAGAGTCATCATACTGACGCTCTCTGATATGATCAAACAAGGATGATGGAGAAATCATGCAAGCTAGAACCCCACTGGGCTCCGAAAGATCCAATCTCACAAACTGGCTAGCTGAGGCTTGAATATCCGTCGCTATGGGCCTCTCCGCTACTGTTAGTCAAGCCAAACTCCCCAAACTCTCCGCCCAGCGACTCAAAGCATCGGCCACTACATTAGCCTTGCCCGGGTGATATAAGATAGTGATATCATAGTCCTTCAACAGCTCTAACCACCTCCTCTGGAGAAAATTAAGGTCCTTCTGCTTGAACAGATGCTGCAAACTCCGATGATCAGTATAGATCTCACAAGGAACACCGTACAAATTATAACGCCATATCTTCAAGGCATGAACAATAGCAACTAACTCGAGATCATGGACAAGATAATTCTTCTCATGTACCTTTAACTGTCTGGACGTGTAGGCAATCACCCTACCGTCCTGCATTAATACCGCTCCAAGGCCAATCTTCGAGGCATCACAATAGACAATATAAGACCCCGACCCTATAGGCAATATCAATAGTGGGGTTGTAGTCAAAGCTGTCTTGAGCTTCTGGAAGCTCTCCTCACACTCTTCCGTCCACTGGAATGGAGCACCCTTCTGGGTCAGCCTGGTCATAGGTGCTGCTATAAATGAAAATCCCTCAACAAATCGACGGTAATAACCCGCCAAGACAAGAAAACCGCGGATCTCTGTAGCTGAGGATGGTCTGGGCCAACTCTGCACTGCTTCTACTTTCTTCGGATCCACCTTTAATCCCTCACTCGATACTACGTGACCCAAGAATGCCACTGAATCCAACCAAAACTCACATTTCGAGAACTTTGCATATAATTTCTTTTCTCTTAAAGTCTGAAGCACTGTCCTCAGGTGCTGCTCATGATTTTCCCGACTCCAGGAGTATACCAGAGTATCATCATTAAAGACAATGACGAACGAGTCAGGATATGGCCGGAACACACTGTGCATCAAATGTATGAAGGTTGCTGGGGCATTGGTCAGCATCAATGACATAACAAGGAACTCGTAATGACCATACCGAGTCCTGAAAGTAGTCTTCGGGATATCTAGAACCAGAATATTCAAGTGATGGTAACTTAAACACAAGTCAATCTTAGAAAACACTCGTGCACTTTATAGTTGGTCAAACAAATCATCAATACGAGGAAAAGGATACTGGTTCTTTACTGTTACTTTGTTCAACTATCAATAATCAATGCACATACGCATAGAACCATCATTTTTCTTCAGAAAAAGACAGGACCACCCTAAGGTGATACACTGGGCCAAATAAAACCCTTATCAAGTGATTCCTGTAACTGATCCTTCAACTCCTGCACCTCAGGAGGCGCCATAGGATAGGGATGAATAGAGCTGAGTGCTGGGTAACAGATCAATGCCAAAATCAATATCTCTATCGGGCGGCATGCCTGAAAGATCAGCAGGAAATACATTAGAGAAATCCCGTACTACTGGGACTGAATCAACTGTAGGGGTATCAATACTGACATCTCTCACATAAGCTAGATACACGTCACACCCCTTCTCAACCATTCACTGAGACATAAGAAATGAAATAACTCTACCGGGAGTGTGATCTGAGGTACCCCTCCACTCTTCTCGCGGTACACCTGGCATAGCCAGCGTCACAATTTTGGCATGACAATCAAGAATAAAATAATGGGGCGACAATCAGTCCATAACCAAGATAACATCAAAATCTACCATGCTGAGCAATAATAAATCGGCTCTGGTCTCAAAACCACTAAGAGCAATAAAACACAACCGATAAACGCGATCCACAACAAGAGAATCTCCTACAGGAGTAGAAACATAAACAGGGGAACTCAAAGAATTCCGAGATACGCTCAAATGCGGAGAAAAATAAGAGGACACATAAGAATAAGTGGAGACTGGATCGAATAAAACCGATGCATCTCAATAACAAACAAGGACAATACATGTGATGACATAATCGGAGGCGACAACCTCGGTACGGGCAGGAAGAGCATAGTATCTGGCCTAGCCTCCCCCTCTAGGGAGACCTCTACCTCCCCGACCTCCACCTCTAGCTGGCTGGGCAGGTGGGGCAGCAACTGGTGATGTCGTCATAGCCTAGGAACTCTGCAGAGCACGCTGTGGCTGAGAAGTCTGTGGAGGTTCACCCTTCCTACGTCTGGGGCAATCCCTCACTATATGGGGGGTGTCACCACACTAAAAACAAGCTCTGGGAGGACATGGCGGCTGTGACTTGCTCGGGCCAGGTCTGCTAGACTGACCACTGAAAGCACCCCGTGTAGGAGGTGCACTAGATACTTGAGGTGCATAATAAGGCTCTTGAGGTCTAGGAGGAGCTGGAATACAACTGGCTGCTGGAAGAGCTGAATGAATAGGGCGTCTCATATAACCCCTACCATGACGAATTGCCGTTGGGGCACTAGCACCAGAATAATGGCCCCACTCTCTATACCACTTGGCCTCTCTCTCCTCTCTGTCTCGAGCATGCATACCCTCTACTCTCCTAGAAATGCTCACCACCTACTGATAAGAAATATACATCTTCATCTCCCGAGCCATGCTAGACCTGATGCTGGGAATGAGCCCCTCAAAAAATCGGCGAACTCTTTCACGAACTGTAGAAATCAAGGTTGGTGCATGCCTAGCCAAGTCAGTGAAACGGACAACATACGCCTAAACAGTCATAGTACCCTGGCGCAAATGCTCAAACTCTTCGCGCCATGCATTCCCAAGGCTCTGAGGAACAAACTCTCTCAAGAACATATCTGAAAACTGAGTCCATGTAAGGGAAGCTGCCTCAGCTGGACTGTCCAATTCAAAAGTACGCCACAACTAATAGGCTGCTCCTCGAAGCTGGATGGCAGTGAATGAAACCCCACTCGATCCTGACATACCCATAGTGCGGAGGATACGGTAGCAGTTCTCCCGAAATCCCAGAGCATCATCTGATGCTAGACCACTAAATATAGGAGGTTTGTACTTCTTGAACCTCTCAAGGCTCCGCTGCTCATCCTCGGAAGTTGCTGCCCTGTCCCCGGGATGAACTGGGGCTACAGACGGTACCGATATAACATCTGGGATCTGATCAACTTGGATCCGCTGCTCAGGAGTGCGGGTGGCGGGAGTCTGTGCTCCTCCCCGTTTTGGGATGTGGCTGCAGCAAGGGGGATTAACCCTGCTTGAGCTAGTGTTGTGTACATGCTCATGAACTCTGCAAGGGTCTCCGGAAGAGCTGGAGTAGTAGTACCAGTAGGCGTATCAGGTGCCGGGACACCGGCTGGAGCTGCTGGTGACTCCTTGGTGGCAACTTGTGTGGGTGCTCTGGCTACACCACGTGTGCGTCCTCAGCCTCTACCCCGACCCCGACCTCTGACGGCTCTAGCAGGGGGCGCGGGTGCCTGGTCATCTCCGGTAGCACGTGTCCTCACCATCTGTGAGAGAATAGAAGACAGTAGTTTAGAATTTCGATATCGAAAATCTCGCACGACAAGGAAATCAAATGAAGTGGAATTTTCCTAACAGTTACATAGCCTCTCGTAGATAAGTACAGACTTCTCCGTATCGATCCGCGAGACTCTAATAAACTAGCTTGTGATTCATGACTCCTGTGCACCTAGAGCTCTGATACCAACTTATCACAACCCAAGTTCACCCACCGTGAACTATCGTGACGGCACCTAGTCTCTACGACTAGGTAGCCCAACAAATTGCGGAAAAAGGAAATGAAATATGAAACTAGCAAAAACTGTGGATAAAACATAATAAAAGCGTTTAAGATGCCGCTCGGCATATACAGATGCTCACTCTCAAACCAAATCAACTCCCGAAACCCGGAATCTAATGAAATCACAAGAAGTAGATACTACATAGCGTTCTAACTCCAGAGTGTCTAACCAAAAGAAAGTAGAGAATGTCTATAGCTAAAAGAGAGAATAGAGGGGGACTCCTCGGTCTGCGGATGCGGAAAATATACCTCGAAGTCTCTGAAGATCGCCTAGCCTTACTTATAATATGGCTGAGTCGAAGAACCTGGATCTGCACTCAAAAAAACATGTGCAGGAAAGGGCATGAGTACACCACAACGGTACCCAGTAAGTGCCAAGCCTAACCTCGGTCGAGTAGTGACGAGGAAGGTCACGGCCCTACTGCTTACATATATATAAAACGAGGTAAAACAGTAAGAAGTGCGACAGTATAATTAAAGACATTGACAAATGATAAAGAATAAAATCACAGACAGAATATACTCAGTACACAAAGATAGCAACAGGGGATCTCCTAGGATATCATCCCGTAGTCCCAAGAATAAATGTGTAAGGGATCTCCCGGGATATCGTCCCGTAGTTCGAATCATAAATATGCAGGGGAAACTCCCGGAATACCAATCCGTAGTCCCAAAGTAAATATCCAGTACGGGAAATCTACCGGGTGCTGTCCCCAGTCTCAAGAAAGAATCTACAGTTGTATTCAAGTTCATACCAAGAAAAGCAGAGATTTCTGTTCTATACATGCTGCACAAAATTCAAGTAGACAGTTTAAGCGGATAGTACAGTTAAGTCACTTAAGGATGCTTTCCTAAGCTAAGCATTAGGCTTTAAATACAAGTAGTGTTCAACAAAAAGGAAGCGCATATATTTACTTAATGAAAACGGGGGTTTTTTCCAACAATTATCACGTGTATGCACTCGTCATCTCACGTACACTGCACTCATATAAAAGAGAACCAAAATCATAAGGGGAGTTCCCTCACACAAGGTTAGGCAAGCCACTTACCTCGAACCAGCTCAAAATCAACCCGAAGCCATGCTATTGCCACGAGTATCCAACTCCGAGTGGCCCAAATCTAATCAAATAAATTTCATAATGTAAATATAACTACAACCAACGAATTTAGCTAAAAGAATCGAAGCTAAGATAACAAAATAGAAAAACGCCCAAAAATCCTCACTGAGCCCACGTCTCGGAATCGGGTAAAAGTCACAAATTATGAACACCCATTCACTCACGAGTCTAACCATACCAAAATCATTCGAATACGATACCAAAACCTCGATCAAAATCCCAAAATTAGGCCTAAGAACTATTCTCAACTTTTCCAAATTTTTCATCCAAATTCCGAAATTAAATGATAAAACTAACAATAGATTAATGGAATACAACTACAAAGAGATTAGGAATCATTACCCACTGATTTGCTATTCAAAATCCTCCCAAAATCACACTCTACCGAGCTCCAATTCGATTTTGCAACTTATGAACTCAAACCCTCGATTTTCTCTTTTTTCGCCCAGCGATTTCCGCTTCTGTGGTCATGGGACCGCACCTGTGGTCCTGCATCTTTGGGTGGGGAACCACACCTGTGAGATTTCATTAAATGACCATGCTCCGCACCTGCGCCCATTTACCCGCAGATGTGGCCCGCTTCTACGGTCCTTGGGCCGCATCTGCGACCAGCTCCACTATTGATTTAGACCGCACCTGCGTTTCCCTAACCGCTTCTGCGGTGCCACACCTACAGTTCCACACACGATTATGACAGGTTCAGCAACCTCAGATTTTTGCCTATGTCCAATACGCATCCGTTAACCATCCGCAACTCACCCGAGGCCCCCGGAACCTCAACCAAACATACCAACCAGTTCTAAAACATCATACAAACTTAGTCCAACCCTCTAATCACATCAAACAATGCTAAAACCACAAATCACTCTCCAATCCAAACCTAAAGAACATGAAACTTCAAGAAACCTACAACCGGTGCCAAAACCAATCAAACCAAGTCCGATTAACCCCAAATTTTGCACACAAGATACATTAAACATTACAGAGCATTTCCAACTTTCAGAATTGGATTCCGACCCCGACATCAAAATCTCACTATCGATCCGGAAACTTCAAAAATTCAGTTTTCGGCATTTCAAGCCTAAATAAGCTACGGACCTCAAAAATAGAATCCGAACACGCCCCTAAGCCCAAAATTACCCTACGGAGCTAACGAAATTGACGGAATTCCATTCCGAGGCCGTCTTCACACTGCTCCAACTACGGTTCAAATTCTAAAGCTTAATCTCTCATTTATGGACTCTGTGTCCCAAAACATTCCGAAACTCAAAACAAATCCTTCCGGCAACTCACAATAGAACAAACACGGGAAAAGCAGTTAATAGGGGATTAGGGCGCTAATTCTTAAAAATGACCGGCCGGGTCATTACGGATAACATTTATTATTTTCGAGAATTTGTAATTCTTTGTTAGTTTTATTTCTTTAACGTAATAACCTCTTTTAAATGACTATTTATGTTATTTTTTTTAAAAGTGTTTATATCATTAATATGGGTACACGTGCAAAGCGCAAATCCTAAGATTAGTAATGTTATTAAAAAAATACGAATATTTTACATTAAATATTGAGCAATGAAAAACAATAACTGTCACGACCCCAGTTCACCCTCCATGAACACATCGTGATGGCACCTAGTTCCTACAACTAGGTGTCACACCTCCTTTTTCACTACACCCCGCAAGGGCATAAAGGAGTTTTTCCACTTAAAGGACAATCGGAACGGGATTTATTATTAAGATTCAGAGTCGCCACTTGGACTGGCCAGACACGTTAATTCAAGGCAACAACAAACATGAATTGGAAAACAAATGATTTTCATATTTCATGACTCACACAACCTGCCTGTGATCAGAATTTCGGATATATAGCATACTAGTTCAACTTTAAATTCCTTACTATTACTAATTTATTAAGGTGATGATTCGTATATATGAGAATTGAACTTGAAAACAAACAGTGATGCCGGACGAATAGAGACTATTCTAGTTAATCTAGCATGGAATTATTATACTTATTACTCAACTAAACTCATATGCATTGCTAAAGGCACGAACGCACACCTAATAGTTCAAACAAACACGTTCATGCCCAGCAGCACATCGTTTTAGTACAGTCCAATACAAATTGAAAATTCAATCAGTCCAATTGATCTACTACAAATAACTAACACGATGAACCTGTCCAAACACATCCTAAAGTTAACTGTGATGCAGATGACTAATACAACAGTAAAACTTCAAGGAAGATCAAGCAAACAATCTGCAGTTCCATTTTCATTTGAAGAACTACACCAATCAGTTCCAAGTGTGTGTACCTGGAATTCGAATAGAAGTGAAGTAGAAGAAGTCAGCTAAGGCAATAAATCGAGCAACAACAATGATAAGTGATGTTCAACAGCGTTGAATAACAAGCAGCGACAGATCAAACAGCCCAGAAACAAACTCAATAACCAGGAAGTGTTCGAAATCAGCAGGATCAGTAAGTCAACCAAACACAGCTTGATTAAAACCCCCGAAATGAACCTCGAAACTTACACTCTGAACTTCAGCAACCAAGGTCATACTAGATAATGTGAACT